CCCTTCCAGCCCTACCTCAAGCACTAGAACATGGAAGAAACACAGGAAAACAAGGTGATAGCAGCCATCTACAACTTAAGGTATGTGAAAACTTTCAAGGGAAAAAGGGACCTGGTGGATTAAAGAGAAAATACGTAGAAGCGAACATCGCTGAGGTGACAATATTCTGTAAAGGTGTGTGTGGTGTGTAGGCATACTACAATAATCTGATAGTTGCTTCCCATATGTAAAACAGTATGTTGATAGGTATAAGTATATATAGGATTGCTTTTAAAGTGTTTGGGGTTTTTTAGAGAAATAAGGTTAAGGCAGGAGTTATTTTCTTTAAATTAAGGAAAATAAAATGAACTAATACAAAGGTGCATCATGCTGCTTAGAAAAGTTTTCTGTTTTTTTCAAAAATGAAATTATTAATTTTAATTCCAAATAGTCATACTATTTTTTCTGTTATTTTGGGGGTGGTTTATTTTGTACGTGTGGCTCGATTCCTCTCCTCCTGCCCCTCAATATTTCCACCTAGGAGCAGAAAAACTGTAAAAGTAGTTTCTTCCCCCCTCAAAACCTACCTTCTAAAGTCTCTTTTGCCCCTTGTCCTAGTGAAAAGGAGTAACACTTATGTATTTATAAAGTTGAAGACAGGAGAAAAGGACAATGGAAATCATACCTTTAACAGAAAAGAAGCAAGAGTGTTAGTTTTACTTTCAATACTGATTTTGGGCAGACTCAGATAATTCTGAGAGGAAATTTTTCCACCTGAGAAAATTCAGCCAGTTGCACTTCATGGCCATCTCCCCCAAAATGTCGTATGACTAGAACACATCAGCTTAGTTGTAACTGGCATTGATAAAACAGAAATACTAAAAGTTCAGACACAAATGTCTGTTGCAATGTTCCTTGTAACTGGTGTAATCCATTAAAAAAAATCTATGCTAGAATAAGTTACTTAGTTATTTGAATACCCTTTTTTTTAGCTATACTATATACGAAGATGAATACTCCTGGGTCACACCTGGCTTTGAGTTGCTTTTTTCATGCAGTTTATTCTTTTTTGTTAGTATACCTGATTTTCCTCTTCATTGTCACTCTACTAATTTAATTTTCTTGTAGAAATAATACTAAATTGCATAGTAATTCTAGCTATGCTATTGCTGAATAAATTATATTTAACTTTAGATATCTAGTGACAGAAAACAGAATGACTGAAAACTATCTAATAATTCTTGCGATAATGCCCTAAGTGAGAAACATAGGAAAGCCCGTTATGTAAGAAATAATAAAAACGCCAGTTTTGTTATATACTTAGCTCACATGAATGCTGATCAAAATATTCAAGAAAGTGATGAAAAATAAAACTTCTAATCAAAAAGGCCAAGCATGCTCTGAGGAACACAATAACAATATTACTGTGCCTAAGCAAGAGCAAAGTCCTAAGACTAAACTTGCAGTAGGTATTGCTGGATGGTGATTACTCATGTTCAGAGTGTGGCTAGTGAGGATTTTCCTACACACCTCTATTTTGCCCCAGGGCAAGCAACGCCTCAGCATGTAATTTTCCTCAGTCCCACAAGTGCCCCATACTTCTGCTCCTTGACTGAGAAAGCTTAAATCTATTCTTCCTTCTCCACGTTTGTATCTAAATTAATACCATCTAGACCATATTGTATCTAGGCGCTGCCCATCTCTCCATAAACAAGAACATATTTGTTCTGGCTCCTTCCAAATTTCAGCTATTTGTTCGTCACTCTGGAACTGTGTGTTACCTGTAAACAGACGATGGTATTCCAAAATTTAACACTCCTGAACTGTATAGATGAACAATGTTCCTTCCCAATGACCTTGGACAAATATACACTTGGTGAATGGTATTCCAAGCGAGGCTACAGAATGGTCAATCATGATTCCCAGCAGTCATGTTATTAGGACTTTATTCTCTTAATTTTTTGCTCTATTTTTCTGTGTTTATGCAGGTTAGCACATAAGCTGAAACCTGCTGTAAATACCGGCATTACTTTTCTGTACATGTAATAACGGCAGTTGAACTGAGATGAACCATCATCATTGTCATGGTTTAACCCTAGTCGGCAGCTAAGCACCACACAGCTGCTTGCTCACTCCCCTCACAGTGGGATGGGGGAAAGAACTGGAAGGGTAAAAGTGAGAAAACTCGTGGGTTGAGATAGACACAGTTTGATAGGTAAAGCAAAAGCCATGCACACAAGCAAAGCAAAACAAGGAATTAATTCAGTACTTCCCATCAGCAGGCAGGCGTTCAGCCATGTCCAGGAAAGCAGGGCTCCATCACACGTAATGGTTACCTGGGAAGACAAACGCCGTCACTCTGAACGTCCCCCCCTTCCTTCTTCCCCCAGCTTTATATGCTGAGCATGACATCATATGGTGTGGAATAGCCCTTTGGTCAGCTGGGGTCAGCTGTCCTGGCTGTGTCCCCTCTCAACTCCTTGTGCACCCCCAGCCCACTCCCTGGTGGGGTGGGGTGAGAAGCAGAAAAGGCCTTGACCCTGTGTAAGCACTGCTCAGCAGTAACTAAAGCATCCCTGTGTTATCGACACTGTTTTCAGCACAAATCCAAAACACAGCCCCATGCTAGCTACTGTGAAGAAAATGAACTCTACCCCCGCCAAAACCAGCACAATCATGTAAATGCAAAGCAGTGGTCTAATGAGATCGTTCCTTCTAGACTCTCACTTCCATGTGGGCAGAAGCAGTGCTGTTTCCATGCCCGGCCTTCCCCCTTTCTCCAATCTGCACAGGAGAAAGCTGCCAAAAAGCAAGATAAAAGTGTTCCTTCTTGCAAGATGCAGAAATGTTACATACGTGGCATAACAAGCGTGTATTACAGAGGCAGCAATTCAGAGAACTTGCGTCCTATAACAGTGGGTGACGTCCTGGTGAGAAAAACACAGTGATTTCCTCTTCCGTGAGCTCTTAGGGAAAACTCCCTGAGGGATTTTCCATGGGAGATTATCCAGGTTGTGCGTAACAGACAGTGAAATGGTCTCTTCAACTCCTCACTTAACTTGGCTTTTCTCACCCTGATCGTGGTTTTTTTTTCCATGGGTAGCTGCCTACTTGATTAATCTCATTTCCCCTGGCCCTCAGCCTTTCCATTCACCTTCCAGCTGAGCAAACAAAGGGGCGGGCAGCCATTTGAAAATGCTTCCTCCTCCAGTCCCTCCGGGGTAGGCCCTCTGCTCATCCTGTTCATAAAACAACTCTTTTAACAATCTCCGAGAAATGCGCTTCTTCACTATTACTTGGATCAAGAACTCTCCGCTGGGATCAACTTTAAAAGGCTGACATCTGCCACCTGGGAACTACCGTTCAGCTGATGACCTTGTTTCTGCTAGATGGAGTGGACTTACTAATGCTTGTGGCACTTGTATCAGTTAGGGAAGCTTGCAGTGAGCAGGCCAATGTTATATTACAGTCTGAATTTCTATATTCAGTATCATACATAAACATATTAAAAAATAAATGCCATCTAAACAAAACTCTAACAAATCTCTGGAAATTAAACCTTGAGTCCTAAATAGGAATGGATCCTCTGCTAAAAACTACTCAAACACGTGGAAACGGCACGGCTTTCGTCAATGAAAATGCAAAATACTTGACGCAAGAAACATTTAAGTTTTTGCAGCTTTTTGAGCATGCTAAGAGTGCCGAGTTCAGCAACAGCCGCCTGCCTCTGCTCTGCACAGCTTCCCACACCCAGGCGAATGGGAAGTATGTCTCGAGTACTACGTCGATTTCGGTCACAGGGATGTCGCGACGCAAGGCTCGATGCCGGACGTACGGGAGGGGCGCCCGGGGCGCCGCGGCCGCGCGCCAGGGAGCGCGAGCCGCCCTGCGGAGGCCGCCGCCCGCGCCTCTCGCCCTACGCCACCGGT